TGGTATAAAAAAGATGGAGATAGTGTTTTTAAAGGACTGAAATTCGGCAAAGTTTATGGTAAACAATAAACAAAATATTCAAAAAATAATCAAAACAATTTATATCATATACACATTGTGATATACCGATTTTTACTTTTTAATCATTTTTAGGAAGGGCGTATAGTATTGTGTTAGCCGAAAGAGTTGTGCTAAATTTTATGCAAAGAATGAGTGGCATAGCCACACTCACAAAGGTAACAATAACATTATTTAACTTTATAAAAAACAATAATAATAATAATGATAATCTATAACCATTATAATATTATTTTTGTTATTTATTTATTTATTTATTTATTATAGGCGATGGCAGAAGCTGCAAACCCTGCGAGCATATTGGAAACAAGAAAAACTGCACCAGCATTGCGATTGGTGGATAAGTGGGCGGTGTAGTTTTACTTTTTTACCCTTTGATCCTATTCACATAAACCCTAATTTTATTTATGATCATTTTACTAACACATCAACAGGTATTGATAGGTGGAGGGAAGAATCACAGAATGGGTTTATTTGATATGGTGATGATAAAAGACAATCATATCTCCATATCTGGAAGTGTCTCAAATGCCCTTAAATCCGTTGACCTTTATTTGACCAACAACAATCTTCAAATGGGCGTTGAGGTAATTTCAATTTCAATTTCAATGAGTTTGTTTGTTTCTTTCCCTTTTAAATATCGAAACCATTTTTTTTTTTATTGAAAAGGTGGAGACAAGGACATTTGAGGAAATACATGAGGTGTTACGTTATGCTGATGAGAATAAAACATTTTTGAGTAGAATAATGTTGGATAATATGGTTGTGCCTCAAGGCGATGGGGATGTTGACGTGTCAATGCTTAAAGAAGCTGTAGGAATAATTAATGGGAGGTTTGAAACTGAGGTAAAAATGTTTAAATTTAAAAATAAAAAAAAAATGTAAAAGATGGAGAGTTTTATTATATATTTTGGTGTGTAAAAACAGGCTTCTGGAAATGTTACGTTGGAAACTGTACACAAGATTGGGCAAACGGGGGTGACATATATATCAAGGTAATCATGGAATTATTAAAATTTTATAAATTAATTTTTCACGAGAAAAGAAAATTGATTTCTATTTTTTTTTTTTTTAATGTAATGTATGCAGTGGAGCGTTGACACACTCGGTGAAAGCACTTGATATATCTCTGAAAATCGATACAGAGTTGGCACTTGAAGTTGGAAGACGCACAAAACGAGCTTAGTTGTGTATCATTATATGATACATAAAAATTTGATTTTGAGTGTAATAATGATTTATGTGGATTTTTTTTTTTGGATTGTTTGGTTTTGGAGATGTTAATAATATGAAACATGAAACATGTTGTTGAGTCTTTTAGTGTGCGAATTTATAGTCTATATACTAGCTAAAGAAAAGCAAAGAAGAGCAAGAACGTATTAAACTCTTCCCTCTTAATAACTCAAGAATTAGGGTTAATCGGTCAACCGCGATGGTTTTCTCCTCCCACGTTCTTCCTTTGCATCCGTCTCTATTTGCAATTAATCATCTCCTTTTTCCTTTGCTTTGGGTTTCACTTTCCAACAAGAAACTCGAGAAATCCCTACAACCATCGATTATGGTTTTAGGTTAAACAGGTTCACAAGCTTGATTTTGGTTTTTGCTCACCACTATCCCCCACCAACCCTAAGCTTTTACAGGTTCCATTTTTTTTTTTCACACTTTCGTTCCTTGGTTTTGAGAAATTCAAAAGATTTTTTTTTTTTGTTTGTATAAAAGATGCTTTGGATCGACTCATAACCAACTACTCAAGATTGAAATTTTCTACTTAAACTCTCATTTTTGGTGGGTTTTTTGTAATTAGTAAAGTACATTATTTTGAGTTCAGAGCAAGGGAAGAACGAGGATGGTCATTTGTAATATATATATATATATATATATATATATATATATATATATATATATATATATATATATATATATATATATATATATTATTAAAGACATATACGAAATTTAACCTATTTTAAAGGGCTAAATGCAAGAACTATCAACATACCTTCATTATTCGTATATTATAGTATCGTGTATTTTTCAAATTTTTCTTGTTAATCATTTTATTGTAAAACATATACTCAATTATCACATTATACTTTAATTTATTTATTTTCTAATTAGGAGTTAGACTTCTAAAAACAATTCATCTCTATGGGTGAAATACAAAAATAAATAAAGGGAAAATTTGTGAAATAACCAAAAGGAATGGCTATTGGAAGAAAATGACAAATAATTAGGAGTTTTTGAAAAATGACCACGACTTCCGTAGAGAGGGCTTCCGCGGAAGTCCTTTAGTTCTAAGGAACAAGAAAACTCTTTATGGAAATGACGTTGCGGGGAAAAAGACAAAAATTCTAAAATTTTAATTCTGCAGAGGGTGAATCGTTCCACAGAAATACCCTTTGTGGATTTTTTTTTAGAGGTACTCTTTTCAGGAATTGTTCTTCGTTAAAACATGACCTAATAACGATTTTGGTATTTGTTTTTTTCTAAATCTAATGAGGTATCAACATTTAACACATATCATTGATTCAAAATAACAATTTAAACTATAAAATTATGTTTCTAAGTTTATTTTTTTCGACGACTTAGGTGCTGTTTGTTTTCAGGAAAAAAAAAAACATCTTCAAACCTTTTATTGTTGCGCGGCGCACCACACGCGCAACAATTTTTATCTTACAGTTGTTTGTTTTTTAGAAGTCTTCGGATTAAAAAACCTCTACGCGTTTTCTTTTTGAGGCGACACTTGTTTTGCCTCTTCCAACCTCATCTTTTTCTTTTTTCTTGCTAAAACATTGATTATATATTGATAAAATCTTATTTCACATTTTTTTTTCGTTTTTTTTCTTTATTCTTGTTGAATTTTTTTTCTTTTTTCTTTTTATATTGAATAATTTGTTGATGAAATATCATTATTTTATGCTAAAATATCTTTTTTTTTGTTAAAATATCATTATTTTGCTGAAATATCATAAATTCTTGCCGAAATGTTATACATTATTAAATTTTTGGTATTAAAAAACTATTTTCGGATTATAAAATCAGTTATTTTAACTTTTTAATATCTGCAGTAGCATGCAGATGTTAAAAAAAACAAACACGCTTCTTATTACAATTAGACCTGATAACGGGGCGGGTTTTGACCCTGATCCGATCCAAACCCGTGTATAATTAATGGATTTGGACCATATTTTATGATTCGTTTACCCGTTAGCGACCTATACCCATTAACCATTTTATTAAAAGGGTCGGGTATGGATTACTATCAATCCGATCCGTTTATGACCCACCCTATATAAAATTTTGAAATCTAAATTAATTATTTATAACTAATAATGCATTTATTAATCTTCACATATAGGAGTCAATGAGTTAGATTGTTAGACGTTCTACTTCAACTTTCCAGTTCAGTTCTTAATCCAAATTGCCGATTGAAGTCGACTTCTTATATAATCGACTCTATAATCTTTTGAAATTGACTATGAAATCGACATTCCACAATCAAGACTCAAGAGCAAGAATAAAAGATTTTTAGTCAAGATTCAAAGAAGAAAAAGAAAAGGCTATAACCGAGTGATCGACATTCCACATCATAATACATTGGAAAAGTTATTTATATAGCTATAACTGATGTTTGTTTTGGAGTGAATGTTGTTTGGTTTTAGTGATCATGTTATATGTGTTTTAATGAATAATTAAGCCTAAACTTAATATTATAAATGGATCGGGTAAAAGGATTGAAATCTGTTGATCCGGTGGATAAGGATCGAGTTTAATCATTCAAAACCATGTTGGTTACGGGTCGGGTTTGGATTATCATTTGAAAATTGCTTAACGGGTTTGGATCAAGGCTAATCCAATCCAAACCTACTCCATTGTCAGGCCTAATTACAATCTGCAACCGTTTGGGCCACCTTTTCTACTGTAGAGGGTTGCAGAAGTGATCTGCAAACTTTATAGATTTTTGCTTCAAAAAAACAGACAACCCCTTAGTCAACATAGTCCATGTTTTAGCAAATAACAATTCATCAGAGGATTAATCTCTGAAGAACAGATTCGCACAGAGCATCTCTATGAAACAATGAACCATAGACATAATTAAAATTTTATAATCTTTTTTGTCTTTTTCCCCACCATGTCATTTCCTCAGAGGGCCATCTCTACAAAAGTTATGGTCATTTTTCGAAAACTTCTATTCTTGGTTATTTTCTTCAAACAACCCTTCCTTTTTGGTCATTTCACGAATTTTCCCATAAATAAATAAATAAGCAATGGAGCGTTTCATATCGCATTTGTTTACATTCCATCTCATACCAAAATATACTAAGAGGGTGTTTGGGAGTGCTTTTTTAACTAGAAAAGTGTTTTTAGATAAAAGTGCTTATTTGCTTATAGTGGTGGTAAAAAGAGTTTTTTAAAAAGTGTTTGGATAAGCTTTTACAGTGAAAAAGTCAATAAGTCAATAAGTTAAAAAGTGTTTGGCTTAAAAAGTGCTTTTTGAAGTTATTTTGGCTGAAAAGTCATAAGCAGTTTCAAAAAACCACGTTTTCCATGCTTATTAAAAAGTGCTTATTGAAGCCTATAGAAAAACCATTCTGAAAAGTGCTTTTGAGTTTGCCAAACACTTTTTTTGGCTTATTAGCTTTTCAAAAAGCCAATAAGCAAATAAGCTATTTTCAACGGCAATCCCAAACACCCCCTAAATCCGTATCTATTTATCCAAAAGGTTAGAAATATGATAATCGCAATGTATATAATAATGTTGATCCAAAAATAGATCAAAATTATTCTACGTAATGGTCTACACTACAAAAGTCACTAAATAAAAAGTCTTATCTAAATGAAAAACAATATCATTTAAAAATTTCTTAATAAAATAAAAGTGTGATAATAAACCAAAGTAAGAAAATTAAGTCAAAACATATGCACATGATGATAATGTCGCATGCCCTTAGTCCTTGGTTTTTCAACATCATGATCTTTACACCACTGAGCTATCAAACTTCTCAACTCACAGTTTGGAGTAAGATCCAGGTTTTTAAGTTTTTGGGCATGTTGTATTCCCACGATTGATCCATCTTTCTATGCATGATCTCTCATAAGTCTGTAACATACTACACAAAGATTAGATGCAGGTAACACTATGGAATTGAGAAGGGAATTCTAGGGCTTCTGTTTTCTGTAATTATATGTCGATGAATGTAAATTAAATCAGATAAAAAAATAATCGATCGATTTACACTCAATTTCTAAACTATACAAAATTAAGTTAATTAACGAATGGATAAACTTACAGGGAAAGTATCGTGATCGATGGTTCCTGCAGACTGAAGCAACATTTTAGCAGCTGTAAGAGCTGCCGTTAGTTGAGATATGGAAGACAAAAACGATGACGAAAAACACGCCAAATGCAAGGGCCCACTATCAGCTTGAAAATCCCAAATTTCTTCCCCAAAATGCGACAACAAGGCGACTATTCTGGAAAGGTCCGTGCACTCCTTCTTGAAGCGTCCATTGAATCCGGTGGCGGAGGTCCGTGCTTCATCGTGGACTAGGTGGAGAAGAGACTGATGACTGAATTGCCTGCATAGTTGCGGTGGAGTCGTCGTCGCCCCCCATCGGAATCGAACTATGACAAATACGCATTGTACCCCATACAACCGAACATTGATCTAATTCTGGCGAATTTCTATAGCTCGTTCCCTGATTTTTTATATGATATTTTCAGCGAATTTCGGGAAGGATTTGCCATGGCCGGGAATCTTTCATTCTTTGACGAACAATTCAAGCTAATCAAATATTTTTGAAGCCCAATACAAACTAACATAATAGTATTTTTAAAATTCAAATATTAGTATTATTAAAAGATTGTGGGTGAAAAAGTATTTAATTACAAAACGATATTGAGATAACGGGAAACGAATAACGAGTAGCAGATAGTGTTTGATTTTGGAACGATTTATTTAGGTTAAAAGTTAAACGTTCCTGTGGTCGAACGATGTTTTAAAAGCTTCCAAATGATGTGTGTCTGAACATGCCCAAAAGATTTAGATTAAATTTATATTGTTTTTTTTAGAAAACATTACAAATTTTAACGTATGATTTTTTCATAAATAAAATAAAATCTCACTTTTAATCAAAAGAAATTTAGAAAAAAAAAATCAATTACAATTTTTGTGTATATTATTATGTGTTTTTTTTTCTTAAATCAAGTTTTTTATTTTAAATTTAATATTGACCATAGTTCCTTTGATTTTATTTTGGTTTTACTTGGACGTTAAATAATTAAGTTTTTTTAGGGAAATTGAGTAATCTAACCTTTATGAACGATATATTTCACAAAAATAACAAAAAGTTTTTTTTTTAATTTTTCATAAAGTAACCATATTGTCCGAAACACATTGTTTTGAAGCGGTCTTTGGATTTTCGGAGTGCGATTCCGGACCATGGATCTGGAATACATTTAACCTTTTATTTTTTCGTGTAACATGTGGCCTCATTATTTTGGACCGGCATTCGTGTATTTTTTTTTTTTTTTTTTTAGAAGGTTTTGCTTATATAATGTCGAAAATAGAACCGGTAGTCCTAAAATCAACAAAAACCAAATAAATAAACTATAGGTATTAGTTTGAAATAATATTACATCTTATATTATAATTTTCAAATCATCTTATTCCTTGTATCCCAAAATATTTTCTTCAATCGTTTACGATATGACATAGCCCATGGACCGCTTTGACCGTCTATAGAATACGACTTCCCAATGATTAACGCTTCTAGGAACCAACACAAAAACATTATACAATCCCCTCTACTTTCAATCTATTGTGGTACTTGGGGCGCCTTTTCAAGAGTCGTGTTGAAACTCTCAAGTGAGATTAAAACACTTGGTTCGGTACCCCGATTGTTGATACCAACTAGCAGTTTATGGATGTGAGCTCACATACTGATATACCAATCATTGGTTTCGGAAAAGTAGCCGCTCTTCTAATGACTAGCGTATCTTGTCACTTGGAATGTTTTCAAATTCAAAGCATCCAAAAACCAGTGAGCAATTGGTATATTGATTGAAGTGTAAAGTTACAAAAAAAAAAGTTAGAAATAATTAAATATCAAATAACATCATGGTACATATATACTTAGGGAATGTAATCTAAACACGATTATACCGTATCATATTTTGCCCAAACTGGGTAAAAGGATCCGTCAGCCATATCACTCCAATCAAATGTATTAGTGTTGAAAGTTGTCGGTACAACCGTCCACCGAGCGTCATCATGTCTACGCTCTACTAGTAATGAGATCCACGACATGATGTTATTCCAATTTAAAATATTTGTAGTTGAGTGTTGTTAGTAGAAGCGTAGTATGTAAATGAGCAGGCTAATAATGTTACTTACGTTACATTCCAACCACCCTGTGTGACTATCTGCATATAAGCGTGCCCAAAATTCAATCGTCGGAATAGCAATTAAAAAACGGTGAGTAAAACAACACTGAACCATCCTTTTGTTTATAAAGAGGGTGTGTGGCAGGTTTTAAGAGATTATCCAACGGTGCTTGTTGTTGTCATATAACACATTTCCTCTTCATTTGTATCCATTTGGACTTATACCATAAAAACATAACTTTTTGGCGAATAGAATGCCCAAGTGCTAGCTAGGGCGTTTTGTATTGATCGAACAAAATCTCTTTTACATTCGACTAATGAATAAATGGAGACGGTTGCTCAGGGCCATCATGCAACGGCTTTTTGGGTGTGTTTGACATGTAATCATGGTCCCATAATACCAAAATCGTCTCCGGGATTGTTATTGATAATTTTTAGAAGATTGGCTAAAATAACCTCATGCTATGCTAAACGCTCATCACATGACCTCAACTGCTCGCGACATTCACTAAGCTCATTTTTCAACTGACATACATCGTTTCGCAATTCAGTAACTATTTGGTCCTTATCAGTTGATGGGTCAGCGGCCGGCGGTGGTTGCGGTGGCAGGTGAGATGGAACATCTATATAACATCATGTTTCGAGCTTCGTGTATAAATTAAGGATTTTAGTTTAATATGCTTTTAGTCATAGTTATCAAGATAGAGTTTTAGAGCTCGTCGATGCCTTTCCGTGGATATAAAGATCGTCGAATACGGAATTGGAATGAAGAAGTTATTGTTGTTTAAAGTTAAGTTAGAAGAACAATGTCTAGTAGTATGTTGGGCGTACACTAGGAGTACTTTGGGCGTACTAGCTAAGGAAGTCGTGTTTTTAGGGCGTTACGCTGGATGTACTGCCACAGAGTAAAAACCCTATTTTCGTGGTTTTGAGCCATATTTAAGGACTATAAAGCCTTGTGGTCCTTCACATCAACCTCCACCCTCTTGAGCCTCTAACTCGAAACCCTAACCCCCTAGAGCAAATCTTGAGCCTTTTTAAATGTTTTGAGTGCATTTTGGATGAAAGAGAAGTTCAACTTTGTTGATTGTTGAAGCTCAAGCTTTTGGATCTAGAGCCTATATTGTTTTTCTTAACTCCAGAAGGTATAAAACTTGAATCTTGATGATGCATTTGCTAGATCTTGCTAATTTTGGGTTTTATGAGCTTTTTGCTCACTTTGGTGCATAAAGTTTAGATCTTGAAAGTTTGTGAACTTGTTATGGATAAAGCTGGAAACTTTATGCATCTAAATATCATATTGATTTAGATATGAAGGTTGGAGACTTGGACTTAATGGATTAAGTTAAGAAAGATGCTTTTTTGGTCCCTTTGAGACTTAAAGACTAGATCTTGGTTGTTTGGATCATCCTAATGGATAAAGTTGGAAACTTTATCCATTATGTAGCTATTAGAAACAATAAAAATGTGATGTTGGTCCTTCTACCTTCCATGAAAGAGTTATGATGTCTTAATGGATTAATAAGTTAGGGTTTTAGATTTTGGACATTTTTCTGGCCAAGGAAAGTCATAAAGGTGGAAATTTTATGACTGAAGACAATGTTTTGGGGCTAGATCTTAGTTTGGATGGAAAGTACTTGTGAAATTAATGAGGAGAATACAATTTAGACAAAGTACGTTGGGTTTGCCAAAGGGTATGTTGCACGTACTAGGTTAGATTCTCGTGTTTTTTTGGCTAAGTCTCAACTACGCTCAACTTAGAGACTGAGTACGTTGGGCGTACTCAGTTAGTTTGACTGTCTTTGACTTTTTGTCTTACTGGCTTTGATCTTTAACCTGGGGTTTGACCAAGATTGACTTAAGGGAATTTTGGGTATTTTGGGAAATAGTTTTGAGACTAGACTACTGTTTATTGTATATGTGACTGGTAGAGGCAGCATGGAGCAGTGACTTGTTCAACTATATTTTCGAATTGTGAGGTGAGTTTTCCTCATTGTACTTGTGGGTTAAAGGCACTATTCTATAATTTGACTAAGTACACTGCCTAGGTGCAATTTAGTTAGTTGAGTTACTTAGGTTATAAATATAAAATTAGGTGTAGCTTATTGCACGCATCAGAGCCACCTCCTGTTCTTTCATACATAATGCCTAGGGCTAACCCCCGGGTCTTCCTACCATACATAATAACATATAAGGTGCCAGAAACCACCTCCTGGTCTTTCATACATATTGTCTAAGGCTAATCCCTGGGTCTTCCTATCATACATAAACCATATGGGTCGACATTGGTGCCTTCGACCCATATAAACAGTGAGGAGACTCAGGTCGTACTGCTGATACTCCACTGAGTGCTAACCGACGAATCCCAAACTGCTACTCCTTCGTCTCCCTGTGCTATCAATACCAAAATAACACTTAGACCAAAAATACCCTCAAAGGTCAAGCTAGGTCAACTCTGGACAAGGTCAAAGTCAACGGTAAAAAACGCACCGATTTTCCATCAACACGTCGAGTTCCAAAATTAATGATCCTGAATTAGTAACCCAACTCGTCGAGTCAACCCCTGACTTGTCGAGCTCCCTGGCCACTCAAGGTCGCGACTTATCCCATCAACTCGTCGAGTCACTCCTTGGACTTGTTGAGTTCATGCATACAAAATCGGGACAAACCACCTCGACTTGTGGAGTCCCTCCCTGACTCGCAGAGTCCCTCAGTCTGATGAGCTAACTTAATGGGTTACGCCCTTATGCTTCAGATCCCAACTCCAAACTTCGAATACACCTTGGAAATGACCTTAGAAGGGGAAAGTTTCCAACTTTACCCAAAAATATGCTTGCTTGAAGGATTTCACTCCATCCCTAACTCTTAAGGACCTAGATTTTGGTCCATAAGACAACTATAAACTAATCCATTGCACCCAAACATAGATCTGGACCCAAACATCTCATAGCCATGCAAACTTCTGGCTTTTTCCTTCCATGCATGGCCTTTTGAGCTAAAAAGGCCAAAAGATTACTCCTTTGCTTGCATGGGGATTCCTATGGCATAAAGCTTGCACCTTTATGCTATAAAAACCCTTAATGGTTCTAGATCTGAAAACCTAAGCCTTTGGGACATCCATTTCTCACATGCTAGGGTTCTGGGACCAAAATCCCTCACAAAGGAGGATGAAGAGATCTAAGTGCATAATAATCGAGGTTGGAACTTTCTTACAGAATATGAAGAGGATGAAGAGTTTTTTTTTGGATCTACAATCCCTCTCTTGAACACCCAAATTTTCTCCTTCTTCTTCAAGCTTCAAAACACTCAAGAACGCTCAAAGATGGCTCACAAGCTCATGGAAGGCAATAAATCTCCGTGGTTTAGGGTTTGGGTAGTGTAGGTTCGAAATGAGGCTAATGAGAGGAGAATAAGATACTTAAATAGGGGTCAAAAGCCCGAATTTAGGGTTTTCCAAACCCAGACCAACTCGCCGAGTTGGTCCTCCAACTCACCGAGTAGGTCACTTAACCCGCGTCACAAAAACTCACTCCTACTCGTCGAGCCACCCCCTTGGACTTGACGATTAGACCTCTTGACCTGGGGTTTTTCTTTCTTTTATTGGAGCTCTGGATTTTGGGTGTTATAGGTTGTGTTTGACACACCACAACTAGATTATTTTTCGAGCCTTTTGGGATTGTCATGTTTGTCAAGCCAAAAAAATAGTTGATAAGATACTCCAATGAATGTTTGAAGGAGCTTTTTATGTTTTCCCAGTTATGCCCTTTAAAAATAGCTAAGAGATAGGTACAATATCAAACAATCAACAACGTGATTATCCCAAATTATTATATATCTGATCCAATTCCCCTCTAAACCGCAAGAATATTCTCCCTCCACCATTAATTTCTATAAATCGATTCATTATCAATGTTATTGATTTATGTTAGAGAAACACAGCACCGTACTAATTTTTATAAAGAAGGCATCGTTGAAGTCTTGTTTACCATCATCATGTATGCATTCTTTTGAT